TCATTCTTGTATTAATTCATGAGTATGCACTATTTTGTTTTGTTGTTTATGTTGCCCAGTTGATTTAATTTAATAATCTAGTTTCTCTGTCTGTTACTATATAGGGAAATAGGAAGATTTGCATGCTAGGCCACATTTACCATCTTTCCACAATCCCCTTTATGTGTAAATTGTTATGAATGAGATAATTTCTCTCTACCCATAATTATTTAAAAGACTACTTCTTTTAAGTTTCCAAAATACTTTAGATTATTTTTCATATGTTTATTGATAGCCAACTAAATTTTAATGTTAGAGAATGTGGTTTTCTAATGCTTATTTTTGAAGTTTTTGAACTTCCATAATTATAGGATCAGATCATTGTTAATATGTATTGCATTTATGCTTGGAAAAAATGTAAATTTTTTATGATTAGGTATTAAAACTCTGAATTTTTTGTTTTGTGTATTATTTTGCATCTTGTTTTGTGTATTATTTAATATTATCCATCTATACCAGCTTTCTTTTGATTATTACTTGGCTATTATATTTTCCCTAGCCTTCTATAATCAATTTTTCATAGTCTTAAGTCTTAGAGTGAACTTAAATAGCACACTGTTGCAGTTTTTAAAAATTTACTGCTTAGGTTTAACTGGAGTTGTTAGTTTATTTAAACTTGTTGTGACTTCAAAGATAGTGAGATTTACTTCCACTGTCTTATTATGTGTTTTTTATTTGCCTCACTCTTTCTATATTTTATATTTGCCTTCGTGTGCTCTTTGGAATAGATTAAACTATACTTAGTATAACATTTTTTCTTCCATTTGTTCAAACATTTTCATTCTACTTGTGCTATGTTAGAGATCCCATTAGATATTTGAGAATTTAAAACTAAGTCTAAAAGCTCTAAACTTAATTAATCTATTAAAATTTGTTCTCAACCAGGGCTGTGGGGCCACACACTCCTGCCCACATCCAGGCAAGCAATGGAGCATGCCCAGGGTCCTAAGATGGGAGTCATGGGGCCACTGCCCCCACCCACAAGAACATCTTAGAATATATTTATTAGCCACTTGTGTTTCTTTGGGGTATGTGACTTTTCTTCTCATCTCCTTCACCAAATTTCTGTTAAGATTTTTCTAATTCATTTTAAGAGTTCTTTATGCATTAAGGATGTCAATCTTTGCGTGTTAAATTTGTTCCTTATCAATTGATTTTAATTTAATTTGTGATGTTTTCCTTCATTTTTACATTGAGACAATTTTCTATCTAAGCATTTAATTAAAAAATAATAAATAAATAAATAAATAAAATAAAATTTGTTCTTGGGAATATAAGGATCCCTGAACATTTTAACTTTGTTCAGCAATTTTTATGCTATTTTCCTTCACTACATTAGTTTTCATCTGACATGTTTATACAATAAAAAGAAACATTAGGGGCCGGCCCGGTGGCACACTGCTACAGTGCGCCACTTGGGAGCGCAGCGACGCTCCCGCTGAGGGTTCGGATCCCACATACAGACCGGTTCCCGCTCACTGGCTGAGTGAGGTGCGGGCGCAACACCGAGGGTTGTGATCCCGTTGCCGTACACGAAAAAAGACAAAAAGGAAAAAAAAAAAAAGAAACATTAGTATTATTATAGTTTCATAAAATATTTTTTAATTAGATCTTGCAAACATATTCTGCTTATACATAAGAGTTAACAATCTAAATAATTGTTTGAAAATATTTCAGGAAGGTAATGCTAAATATGAGTAAAATGCCAATTTCTCCTCTACTTCTGAGCCTGTATGTATTATGCCTCCTGCATTTTCCTTCATTATCTCATCCAAGCATCATGATATTTGGCAGGTATATTTTATAATGTGATATATCTGTTTTAAAATTCATTTTCAGGCATTTTCTCAGCATTCTTTTGTATTACCATGTAACAATTTATGCCATTCTCCTATTTCCAATTTTTGCTACTACATGCAGTGCGGCTAAGAAAATTATTCGGTCTCCATGTATACATTGTTTTAAAGAGCTTCTATAAGATGTAAACCTACATGTGGAATTTCAGAATTAAAAGCTATTTGAGTTTTCAAAGTGAATATATGTAGGTGATATAGGTGAATACCAACTTTTCTATATTTGTAAAGCTGTTAAAATTCAGCTCTCTTGTTTAGGGAGGCTTACAATACACTCCTAACCAACTTATTAGTATGTGATTATTACTCTTCTTTTAAGTGTCCTCTTTCATTTTATATCCAGGGATTGAACTTATTAACTCTTATATGTAAACAGAGTGACATCTTAAATTCAATATATCTAAATATTTTCTTTTACTTTTTTCTGATGCTATTGCTGTTGCTACTGGTGTGTGTGTGTATTTGTTTGTGTGTGTGTGTGTATTAAGAGAATCAAAGGGAATTTTCCATATTGCAAGAAATAGTGTCCTTTTCTCTTTTTATAGTTTTAAAAATTGTATTAAAATATATTTTTAAAATATATATTAAAAATATATTTTGTATACAAAATATAATGCATACTCATTGTAACAAGTTAAATAACACAAATTGATAAAGATACTTTGTTCCTTCCCCCTCTGTCAGTTTCATTTCCATGAGAAAGTGAAAATTAACAATTTAGTTACTATTCTCTCCTTTTATTATCATGTCCATACACATTTCTACAAGCATATATAACATGAATACTATTTCTTTTTTATATAAACATTTTGTCACATTATAAGAAATCTACTTCATTTTGTTTAATGAACATAAGTGACATGTTTTCAATTTTATACATATGTGGGTGCATGTGTACAAATTCACTGTACAGATGAACCTTAATTTCTATTTAATGTTCATGACTGTATTAAAGCAATAAAATTGTTATTGAGAATAATCCCAAACAGTATGAAAATCTGGATACATAGATCTCAACAAAGACAAAAAGTGGAAGATCACTGAAATATAACCCAGTTCAATGTTTTTCCTATATCTGAAATTATCTGAAATAGGGAATCATATACCAATGATAAACAAATATCACAGTGTTTAAAATGAGGCAGAGGCCTAAAAGCCCATGTAGGGCCAAATGGATAAAGAAAATGTGATATATGTATATGTATGTATGTATGTTGGTATGTATGTATATATATATATATATATATATATATATATATGTGTGTGTGTGTGATATATATATACATACACACACACACACTAGAATATTTTTCAGCCTAAAAAAAAGGAGATCTTGCCATTTTCTACAATATGACAACATGGATGGACCTGGAGGACATGATGTTAAGTGAAATAAGTCATTCACTGTCACCTCTCACAGAGTGACAGAGATGCAAAGGATTACTCAGAGCCCATGTATCCAGAGCAATGAGAGGCCCAAAGGGGCTGGACCCAGGGAAAACTCCTTCAAGAGAGAAGAGCCCCAGGCACAGCCCTCAGTCAGGTTTGTTCTCAGCTTTTATTGTGCAGGCAAGAAAGTTACAGAAGAAACACAGGTGGTTTATCAGTCATAGTGAAAACATAAACAAACTGGCTACATGACAATTTTCATTAAAGCTGGTGTAATTTAAAATAGTTCAAGCAATTTATCATCAAAAGGAGTCATAAAACTAAGCTATGTGATACAAAAGAAACAATGAGGTAGATAATCACCATGGCAATGCTTAGCTCCCCAAGAAACATAAAGAAACAGTTGAAGGTAAGATATGGAACAGCCCCCAACCAGTAACTAGCAGAATAGCCTTAAAGGTTTTAGCTCACATACTTTCCCATCATATAGGTTTAGCTGTACCAAGGGCAACCGCCCCCAGAGCAATCACTTTTGTTGTGTTTCAATTTTCTTATCTACATCAAAGGCTTTAGTTCTGTGAAGGGTTTTTTTTGTTTGTTTGTTTGTTTTCTTTTTGGTTTTTCCCAATCTTAGCATGTCCATGCGTATTTCTATAGAATTGAGCTAGGGCTTAAACTACAGGACTTTGGTAAACTAAGGACTTTGGTCCTACTATGGTACAGACTACTTTAAGGACTTCAGTCCTACTAAACTAAGGACTTTAGTCCTACTATGCTATAGGTTATGGCCCTTTGAAATACGTGTTTTATTAATGTCAATATCCTCCACAATTCACAGAGAGAAAAATATTGCATGATTGCACTCGTACGTAGAATATATATATAAATAGTTTAAATACACAGATATAGAGAATGAAACAGTATCTCCATGCGGCTGAAAGGGGGTGGGTTATAAACTGGGGAGAGGTAGGTCAAAGGATACAAAACAGCAGATATATAGGATGAACAAGTCTAGAGATCTAATGTACAACATGAGCACAAAGATAATAAAATCGTATTGTATTAGAGATTTTTGTTAGATGACTATATTTTTGCTGGTCTTGTCACAAAAAGAAAAATATGTGAGATGATAGATGTTAATCTGCTTCATTGTAGTAATCATCATACTATGCATCTATGTATCTATATATACATATATATGTATATATATATCATAACATCATGTTGTAAACCTCAAATATATACAATAAAATTTATTTTAAAAAATAAATTTAAAAAATAAAATAGGTCAAGGTTTTGGATCCCTGTTCCAGCCAGCCACCAATAAATAAATAAATAAAACGAGGCTGGGAAAGGATACCTCAAAGCACCCACACTATCTGCCATGCACAATTATCAGTACAGAAAAATATAGTATTAAAATTAATGTGGTTATCCTAAACATGAGCATAAAAAGCCTTTCTGGCATACTTCCCATCCAACAAATCTTTATTAGGAACTGGAATGTAGAAGAAAAAGAAAAGAGAGTTAACAACTAGGAAACAAGGATTCCTAAAGGGAGCATGTTGAAAAGGTAGGATTGGCCCCCATGACTTTAAGTTCTTTTACCTTCGGTTTTATACAGCATTATTCAGAAGTTAGGAGGAGAAGAAAAACACAGAAATATGGCATAGCTTGGAGTTTTGAATGATTTTGAGTAGACCTCACATATGACTGTAGTTAGGAATCACTCCCTGCCAACATACTGAAAGTTGTGCAGATAATCCCAGCTGTGGCTTTAAGAATTTCTGAGGATACTAAAGGAACAGAAAGCCACTGAAGTTCTGTAATAGAAAAAAGCAAGGACTTAAAATTAAATAACTTAGCTTAGAGCACATATTCCTTTAATTTCTTTTATCACTTAATTTGGCTGTCAAATATATGTTTAAATACTTCCAAGCATGATGAACTCACCATTACCTTAGTCATACTGTTCCCTGGTTGGAAAACTCTGAATGACAGAATTTTCTTTCTGAGATGCGTTAAACTCTACATTCATGTAAAAGGTTATGTGATTAAACTTTAGACAACTTATGGTGTATAATCGCTTTGGAGAAGAAAACCAGTCAAAAATTTCTGAGCAGAGACCTCATCCAAAAGACAGTTCTTCACAAAATTCAGCCAAGTTTTATTGATAGTTTTGGAGCTCAAGAATTACATAATATCAGGGGAAATCTAAGACATTAATTAGGGAAATTTATCAGGGAACTATTAGCATGAGAACTCATGGTAATCATGAGAAAATGGTTAACAAGTCCTTTGTGTATTAACCTAAAAGAATGATTTTTTAAACCAAATATAGGGAAAGTTGTTTCATTTCTGGACATTAATTTTGTTGTGTCTATCGTAAAGATGTGCAGTAGGCAATTGGATAGGGATCTGATCTTAGGTCATGACAGGTTAGATAATGAAATCATGTGCTTAAAACAATATGTTAAAGCAAAAAATTAGATGGTATTGCATGAGAAAATAAAATTATAGGGTAGTAAGTATAAAAGAGTTCTACTAAATATTATGTTCCAACTTTGGTACAAATTGATAACTGCTAAGGAGTCACTGATCAAAAAATATCTTTGCATTGTGATTGGTGCACTTACCATGATTCTTAAAATCCCATCCCCTGAATTTTTACATCACTGCTTTATTCAACCTGAGAGCACTGATAGAATGCACTGTAACATTGTAATAGAATGCCATGTTGCAGGGATGACAAATAAAATTATTGGTACTGCAGTAAAAATTAGTTTATCTACCCTAAGTTAATCATTGTGCAATATATGCATGTATTGAAACAACACACTGTACCCCACAAATATGTACGAGTAAATGTTAAAATATATTGAATAAAATTTTAAAAATTAACTTATCAGAACTCAATATGACCAATAAGGAAATAAAGCCCAAAGCATGGCAACTTTAAAGAGCCCATTCACTATCTTGAGGCCCATCTTGTGCATGAAAAACAGTAGTGCACTTAAATTAAGTGCAGTTTTTTTTCTCCAAGAAGAAACATAGATGTTTAAATAAAAATTGTAAATATTTGTGGATATGACCAAGGAGAGGACAAAAAAACATAAACACAAATATTTTTCCTAAGTGTTTCTTCCCCCTGTACAGAGGTATAATTGGCAAAAATTGCATATATTCATGGTGTACAATGTGATGTTTTGAATATGTATACACTGTGAAATAATTACCACAATTAAGCTAATTAATATATCACCTCACAGTTGCCTTTTTGTGTGGTGAGAACACTTGAAATCTACACATTTATCAAATTCCAAGTATAGAATACATTATTATTTGCTGTAGTTATCAGCTGCACATTAGGTCTCAGTATTTATTCATGTTACAGCTAAAGTTATGTATCCTTTGACCAATATCTCCTCTTTTTCCCTACCCCTTAGTTCCTGGTAACCACCATTTTAATCTCTGCTTCTATGAGTTTGAGATTTTTTTGATTTTTAACAGTCTACATATACAACTATTTTCTCCCATTCTGTGGTTGTTTTTACTAATAAACAAATTGAGGAATATGGCAGGATATAAAATCAACTACCAAAAATCAGTTGTATTTCTATACACTAAGAACAAACTATCTGACAAAGATATCAAGAAAACAATCTCATACATAATAGCACCAAAAAGAATAAAATAGGAGTAAATGTAACCAAAGAGATGGAAGATCTGTACACTGAAAAGCATAGACACTAGTCAAAGAAAGTGTAGGAGACACAAATGAATGGAAAGATATCCTGTGTTCATGAATTCAAAGAATTAATATTATTAAAATGTCCATACTGCCCAAAGTGATTTATAGATTCAATACAATCCCTGTCAAAATCTCAATGGCATTTCTCACAGAGATAGGAAAGCAATCCTCAAATAAGTATGGAATAAGAAAAGGCTCTGAATAGCTGAAACAATGTTAAACAAGAACAAAGCTGAAGGAATCACACTTCCTGATTTCAAACTGTAGTGCAAAGCTATAGAAATCAAAACAGGATGGTATTGCCATAAAAGCAGACAATAGACCGATGGAACCGAATAGAGAGCCCAGAAGTATACCCACACGGGGCCGGCCCGGTGGCGCACTGCTACAGTGCGCCACTTGAGAGCGCAGAGGCCCTCCCGCCGAGGGTTCGGATCCCACATACAGACCGGCCGCTCACTGGCTGAGCGAGGTGCGGGCGCAACACCGAGGGTTGCGATCCCGTTGCCAGTCCCGGTCCGGTACGGGCGCGACACTGAGGGTTGCGATCCGTTGCCGGTCATGAAAAAAGACAAAAAAAAAAAAAGAAGTATACCCACACATATATGGCCAACTAATTTTTGACATAGGTGTCAATAATACATAATGGGGAAAAGATAAACTCCTTTTTTGTTGTTTTTACCAGTAAAGGGATCGCAACCCTCCATTGAGCACACCAGCCATCCCTATATAGGATCCAAACACATGGCCTCAGAGCACTCTCCTGAGTGAGCCACGGGGCCCGCCCAAGATAAACTCTTTAATAAATGCTCTTGGGAAAACTGGATGTTCACATGCAAGAAAATGAAACTGGACCCTTGTCTTACACCATACATTTAATCAATTTTAAGTGGATTAAAGACTTAAATGTAAGACCTGAAACTGTAAAAGTCCTAGAAGGAAAGTAGATAAAAACCTCCTTGACATTAGTTTTGAAAATGATTTCTTGAATTTGACACCAAAAGCACTGGTAACAAAAGCAAAACCGAACAAGTGAGACTACCTCAAACTATCCGCACAGCAAAAGAAGCAATCAACAAATGAAAAGGCAACCTATGGAATAGGAGAAAATATTTGCAAACCATATTTCCAAGTGCTTTTAAATATTATTTATCTTGATATATTATATGTTATTCTAGAAATTTATGTATAATAACTGAAATATATTAGTGTTATTATACTCATATATTTTTTAATCAATATGTAAATTACTGTATAGACTTTAATTGCTTCAAGCCTACAGAAAAAAAAAGAATAAATTGTGTACCTTTAAAGCCCTATGAAAACATCCTTTTCAACTTTGAAAACTTATTATATTGAGTAAAACTTTCTTATTTCAATAAAAATTTAGTCCTACATGAAAGCCAAGCATTTCCAGAAACAATACACCCAAGAGTGCCTATTTCTGTGACTTCCAGAAACCAAGGAAATCTGCTGACCTCAGCACTTCAGGCTACACAACTCATTTAACAATGTCATTCAGAGAGCTGTATCAGCATGTCCCTACTTATGATGCAATCATGCAGAACTCACAGAGGAACTTTTCAAAACACCAAGAAGCAAGACTGCTTAAAAACAACCCATTATTACAAAAACTCTATGCTTAGAATCATCAGATATCTCCCCTGGTTTATTTTCTCTTACTTTGTAAACCTGAAGCATCAAGTCCCTTAAAAGTCCAATTCAAACCCCACCTTCTCCAGAAATCCTTCTCTAAGGTGTTAGTTCCACACCAAACTTTTTCCTCTCTGATTTTTTAGATTAAATTCATTTGCACATTGCTTTAAATTGATTTTGCACTTTTTTACAGAAGGCATCATGCTTAGATGTATTGCTTTTCCCTATATTTTATACTGCATTATATATATATTCATCACAAAAATACAAATTAAGACCCACATTAAGATAGCACTACATGCTAACGAGAATGGCTAGAATTTAAAATATCATCTCCTTTTATTAGAGTTTAGAAATCTTTTTTAGCTATAGTATTTCTGCTTTCTGTATAATTGCTAACATTAATATAGATATACAAGTATTATTTTCCAGGTATTTATTTCTTATCTCTTCACACTAAACTGCTTTTACCATTAAGTTTTAATTATATACCCTGAAAAGCAATCTTCTATTTTGTAATTTCATCCAATTTGAGTCTCGGTTTGAAAACCACAGTTTTGTTCATTTGCATTTCTGCTTATCATATATTTAGAGTACTTCAGGGAAATATTTACATTTATGATACATTTATTTGTTTCTTAGTTTACTATTTCAACCTATTGGATATTCCCCTAGCTTGAGATATTAATTACGATGCAATTACATTTGACTTAGGTAATTTCTCACATATATTTGCAAAGAAGAAACATAGGTAATATATTCTAGGAATCTTTGAATATCTAGAAAAACTTTTATTTTGCTCTCACATGTTGATAATTTCTTGGATTTTCACAAAAGTGCAGGCTGTTTGTCCAGAATGCTTTTTCCTAAAAGTTTTATGTCATTGGTGTACTGTCTTCAATCCTCCTGTGTTCAGATGAGAAGTCTGATTCCACAGAGAATTGTAGAAAATCTGTTAAGGAAGCAGTGGGTATTATTGATTATAGATGGCATGTTGATTTAAACCCAATTAAATTTAGGATATGGGCAGGAATGCACATCGAGGCCATTGGGGTATTTTCTGGCATCCAAAGGTCAATAAAGATCAGGATCAAAGTCTATATTTCCTATACAGAACAAAATTGGAGAAAGAAGAGAACCTCTTCGATTGTACATTTTGTAGAGTTAAATTGTACAGCAGAAACCAGTAGTGACAATCATTTCTGTGTAAATTATATGTGTCATTCAAAAAACTTTGAAAGGATGGAAAGATACATATAGACAAGCAAAGATTAGTCTAGGTATCATGCAAGGCACAAAATTTGGGAGCCCTGCCATAAACTTGGAGTATATCATTTAGCAAAGGGAGAGGAGTGTCTTGCAAGACAATGTAGTTGCAACTGCACATTGGAATATTTGGAATATATTTGTCAAGAGAGAAGTTAAATGATATCCTTTGGAAGTAGAACGTTAACCCCAATATCACAGCTATGACTCATTCCCTTGTCAATTGCAGTCTGGGTAAAAGAACCTATACCTCTGCAATTGCTTGACTTATATAGAGAAACATGACAGGGACAAGACACACTTTGGCCCTCCTCAGAAAGGGAAACCCCTGTTTCACAGGATTAAGGTGTTGGTGGGTATTTTGGACACTCTCAAGTTAGTAAAGATTTGGAATTTACCTGATTCTCTTTCAGAAAGAAAGGAAAACTGCTGAGCCAAGGTAAGAAGAGGATGAAATGAACCTGTATTAGGGTGAGCACAGCCTTGCTCTGTCTCTTAGGCTGTAACTTCTGCTCTTTCGTTTTATTGGCATGCAATTCTTACATGAAAATTGCTCAGTATTTGGATGATATGCTACCCCTCCCTGGACATGTGCCTACTCTGTACATTACCACCTCTGGCAGGAGGCAGCGCCTACATATAAACCTCTATTGGTACAACACACTCTTGTCTTGCTTTTCTTTTCCTTTTCCTTATTTTATTCCTAACCGCTGTGCCTGCTTTGGACTAGACTTTCTTCACAATGAGAATGGTAAAGTCAAAGGGCTAAGTCGTTGTTGGGCTTATGGATCTAAGTAGTATGATGCCATTTTTAGTTTATGGTCATAGGCCTAACTCAAATTTAAACACCAATAGGCCCAATCTTGACTTACTAAAGTTTAGTTCAGTTTTGGAGAAAGTTATCATATTAGGGAATGGCAATTTTCCTAGCCTTGTCTGTATTCATTATTTCCTGTGCAAATACGGTTGCTGTAATAAGTGAATGGTAAACAACAAGAGTCAAGGATTCAGATCCCATAAATCTGCCCAATATCTCCATCTCTTTCTACTTTCAATATCTAGAATTGGAAGAAATGCTTATAAAAGAGACCAAAATTTAGGTATCTAAGACCCTAATGTAGGGGGAAAGGACTGCAAAAGTAAATGTCAAACTTCAAGCAAAACGAGAAAAGTTCCAGAAATTTGGAATATTCTGACTTTTTTCCCCCCACAAACTCTGAAGGGCAGATACCACGAAGTTCAGAGGTGTTCTACATTCTTTCTCATTATAAAGCCCCAAGATTTTTAAAGAGATTACATTTATTTATGAGTCCCAGAATTAGTTACCATTTGGAGCCACAGCAAGAAGGTATAAAATAAACCTGCACCGGTTTGAGTGCAAACTTGCTCTGGCTCTTATGCTATTACACCTGCTCTTTCTTGTTGCTGATGTGTGACTCTAACCTGGGAATTGCTTATGATTTGAATGTTATGCTATCCCTCCCTGTACATATGCCTAATTTACCATGTCATAAATTTTAGTTGAAGGAAGAGTTCAATGGAGATAACAGAGAGAGCCTTCCCTGTGGATTTGCAGCAAATGTTCAGGTGTGGCTGGGCTGGGGTCTTTCTCTGGTGCCACTGAGTCTTAAATGAAAATGGTAAAACCCCTATTTTAGCACTTAACGTGTTCTTTCATAAGTAAAAGAGTACTTTGCAATTTAGTGAAATGAGCACTTAGTAAGACACAGGTAAATCCTAAAATGCCCCTGGTCTGCTTGCTGAAGTAGAGGAAAACATGTGGATAACCCAAGCCACCATTTTTTTCTATAGCTTATTGGACCCCATAACAGAAGTTTCATAGAGTAAGGGCTAACCATTCAAGGGGTTCAGATAGAGGTACAGGAGATACATCCTGGGAGTTGCCACCCTTGCTACCTCACTTACCTTTCAAGGTATAAAATAGAAAAAGAATCAGTATGGTGAAAAATAACATTAGTACACATACGATCACGTATACATCACTCATCCAAGTACTATACAATTGGAACAGGTCATCTGAAATAGAGACTGGAAAAAAAAGAAAAAAATGGTACTTAAAAAGTAGAAATGAAATGAAGACTGGAAAAGATGCACTAATTAAGAAACCAGATGTGTAGGAGTACACTTAACAAAGGGAAGAGGAGTTGTTGGCTGGCCCTCATTACTTGGTTTTTCTGGGCCTAGTTTGGGACTGTAAACCTAGGTTTGATAACATGATAAGACTTGGTATTTTAGTTAAGCCTGAGAGTGCATGCAATCTGAGCTGAGCCATGAATGCAAATTGTGAAATGTCATCTCTACTCATTTACCCACAGATAACTAAGAACACATTCATATTTATTTTTATACACTTGTTTAGGAGCTGTAGAGGGAAAATGTTTTGGAAATGTCACAGATAGTATACATTGGGCCTCTGAGCAGAAGGGTAAAATAAAATTTTTTATAATTGCAGCTCAGTGATATAAGAGAAAATTTTAATATTCAGTGTACAGTGGATATAAACATAATATTGGAGGAGCTCAAAGTCAATCCATTTAAATAACAAATGGACAAAGACTAATAAAGAAACCGTGATTTCTGAACTTAAATCTTTAAAAGGTTGTCATAGTGCTGGGGCTCAAAAGAACCAATAGTGAAGTTACAGATGGTAATTTTGATGTTATTAATGCAAAGCATTGAGTCCTCAGTACTTGGAAATGTGCCTGACACACAGTAGGCCCTTATTAAATATATCTGTAAAATGATTTAGAGCTACAAAGACAATATTCAGAAGAAATCAGAAAACAGATACAAAACAATTTTAGATATTTCAATTATAAGACAGATTTCATAAAACACCTATACATATTATATTTGAAAAATTAAATAAGACAAGCTAGGAAACACCTGCAGGGCAGAAAATAATAAAAAGCAACATGGAACAGGGCACATTTTACAAAGTTGTAAATAGAAATGGCAGTACTAAAACACAACTTCTGAAATTAAGAATTCAAAGTGTAGGTTCCACAACAAATTAGTCATATATTAGGAGTTAATTAATAAACTTGATAATAAATTAGAAGACATTAGAATGGAGAGAAAAAGTGGAAAATAAAGAAGAGAAGGTAAGAGACATACGGGATGGAGTTGAAAGTTCTAATTGATGGCTATCTAATGTTATAAAAGAAGAGGATTTAAAGAATGGAGAAAAGTAAGTATTTGAAACAATGGTAGCTGAGAATTTTTAAGGTCTAATAAAAGACAGTAATGTAGAAAACTAGGGAGCACAAATCCCTATTATTACAAATAAAAAGAATAACACACACACACACACACACACAGAGCAAATAAGAACTCTTTTGAGCAGCCATAAAAAAACACAGTTCACAATCAAAAGTGGCAATTAGACTAAAAGAATTCTCATTAGAAAATAAACAGTGAAAGCTGAGTTAGTAAAATAATGTGTTCAATGCACTGGAGGAAAATATCTACAACCTAAAATTCTGTGGCCATTAAAACAAAGGCGAAATAAAAGCCACAAGATAATGTGGTCATATTTATAAAGTCTGACACACAAGAAAAATAAAAGGTCAAAAAGGTGTAAATATATGGATAAATATAAATAGATAATGCCATATGGAACAGTAATTACAATAACCTCCTATGAGGTTTGAAAAACATTGATTTAAAATTTCCAACAACCATAGTATATATCTTAATGGGCTAAATGTTTGTGTTTTTAAAAAATTTATTATATGTATTCATGGGGCACTGAGCTGACCATCAGCACCTGTGCACAAGATAGGATGACTGGATCAATACTGTCAGCAGTCCCCCATCTCAAACTACAATTATTCCCCTTGTCCCCCACCCAACCTCTCCTCAACACCCCTCACCCTACCCACCTCCAGCAAACTTACTTCTTTTCTCTCCCTCTGCAAGTCCAACGCACTGCTGTGGTCTTTCTTTCCTTCCTTCTTTCTCCCTTAGCTCCCACTTACAAGTGAGGACATGCGGTGTTTTTCCCTCTGTGCCTGGCTTTTTTCACTTATAATTTTCTCCAGGCTTATCCATATTGCTGCAAATGACAGAATTTCATTCTTTTTTATGGCTGAGCAGTATATTCCGTTGTAGTAGTATTCCATTCCATTTTCCTTATCCAGTCATCCATCAGTGGACATTAAGTTGGTTCCATATCTTGGCTGTTGTAGATAGAGCTGCAATGAATATGGCAGTGCATGTATCCCTTCAACATGATGATTTCCATTCCTGGGGGTATATATTCAGAAGTACAATTGCTCTGTTGTATAGCAGATCTGTCTGTAGTTGTTTGTCTCCATACTGTTTTCCATAGTGGCTGTACTAATGTACAGTCTCATCAACAGTGTAGGAGAGTTCCCTCTCTCTACATCCTCACCAGCATTTGTTATTCTCAATCCATTTGATTAAAGCCAGTTGAGCTGGGGTGAGATGATATCTCAATGTGGTTTTAATTTGCATTTCCCTGATTATTAGTGATATTGAGCATTTTTTCAAGTATTTGATGGCCAGTCGCATGCCTTCCTTTGAAAATGTCTATTCAGCTAATTTGCCAATTTTCAATTCGGTCATTTTTTATTTTTTTTTACTGTGTAGTTGTTTGAGTTCCTTGTACATTCTGGATATTAATCTCTGTTGGTTGTATAGCTTTCAAATACTTTTTTCCACCCTGTGGGTTGTCTTTTCACTCTGTTGTTTCCTTTGTTATGCAGGAGCTTTTTAGTTTGATATAATCTTATTTACTTATTTTTTTCTTTAGTAGCTTTTGCTTTAGGGCCTTATTCATAAAGTCTTTGCCCAGTCCTACTACCTGAAGTGTTACCACTATGTTTTCCTTTAGTAATTTTATAGTTTCAGGTCTTATACTTAAGTCTTTAATCCCTTTTGAGTTTATTTTGGTATATGGTGGTGAGAGTTGCAGGTCTAATTTCTTCTTCTGCATATGGTTGTCCAATTTTTCCAGCACCATTTATTGAAGAAGCAGTCCTTTTCCTAATATGTGTTTGTGATGTCTTTGTCAAAAAACAGTTGGTTTTAAGTCTGTTGGTTTATTTCTGGGATCTCTATTCAGTTCCATTGGCCCAAGTGCCTATTTTTATGCCAGTATCTTGTTGTTTTGGTTACTATAGCTTTGTAATGTAGGTTGAAGTCAAATAATGTTATGCTTCCAGCTTTATTTTCATTTCACTTTATTTATTTTTTTGCTCAGAAATGCTTTGGCAACTTGGGGTCTTTTGTTGTTCCACGTGAATGTTAGGATTTCTTTCTTCCATTTCTGTGAAGAATGTCATTGGTATTTTGATGGGGACAGCATTGAATCTGTAGATCATATTGGATAGTATGAACATTTTCACAATGTTGATTCTTCCAATCCAAGGGCATGAAATATCTTTCCGCCTTTTTGTGTCTTTAGTTTCTTTCAGTAGTGACATGTAATTATTTTTGTAGAGATCTTTCACTTCCTCAGTTAAATTGATTCCCAGGTATTTTAATTTTTGGATGACTTTTGCAAAGGGCTTACTTCCTTGATTTCTTTTTGTGCTAGCTTGTTATTGGAGAATGTAAATTCTACTGATTTGGGGGCATTGATTTTAACTAGAAATTAATAACAAACAAAACTCAGGATACTATACAAATACATGGAAATTCAATAATTCCTAAATGATCTATGGGTCCAAGAAGAAATTAAACAAAAAGCCAAAAATGTATTGAAATCAATGAAGGTATGTCATACCAAAACCTATGGGATACTGCAAAAGCAGTACTAAGAGGGAAGTTTATTCCAATAAATGCTTACATCAAAAAACAGAAATATTTCAAATAAATGACCTAATACTACACATCAAAGAACTGGAAAAATGAGAACAATCCAATCCCTAAGTTAGTAAATGGAAAGAATAATTAAGACAAGAGCAGAACTAAATGATATAGAGACCCCCAAAATGATACAAAAGATAAATGAAAGAAAATGATGGTTTTTTGAGAAGATTAAAAAAATAGCCAAACCATTAGCAGGGTTAACAAAAAAATGAAAAAGGAGACATTGCAACTGATAACACAGAAATACACAGAATCATTAGAGACTATTCTAAACAACTGTATGCCAACAAATTTGAAAACCTGGAGGAAATGGATAAATTTCTGGACACTTATACACTACCAAGACTTAACCAAGATGAAATAGAAAACCTGAGCAGACCAATAACAAGGTGCAAGACTGAATGAGTAATCAGCAGTCTCCCAACAAAGGATGGATTTACTGCTGAATTCTACCAAACCTTTAAAGAGAAATTAATACCAATTCTCTTCAAACTATTCCAAAAGGTTGAAATGCAGGCCACTCTCCCAAACTCATTCTACAAAGCCAGCATCACCTAAACCTAAACCAGACAAAGATACAACAACAGAAAGAAAACTACTATCAATATCTTTGGTGAGAATAGATTCAGAAATCATCAACAAAATACTAGCAATCAGAATACGTCAACACATAAAAAAACAACACACCATTATCAAGTGAAATTCATCCAAGAGATGCAAGGAAGGTTCAACATACATAAGTCAATAAACGTGATACACCACATCAACAAAACCAAGGACAAAAACCATATGATTATCTCAATAGACACAGAAAAGATATTCAACAAAATTCAATATCCATTCATGATAAAGGCTCTCAGGAAATTAGGTATAGAAGGAAAGTATCTTAACACAATAAAAGCCATCTATGACAAGCCCATCCCCAATATCATCCTGAATGGGGAAAAACTAAAGGGTTTTGCCTTAAGAACAGGAACAAGACAAGGATGCCCACTCTCACCACTCCTATTTAACACAGTATTGGAATTATTCACCAGAGCAATCAGGCATGAGAAAGAAATAAAGGCCATCCAGATTAGAAAAGATGAAGTCAAATTGTCCCTGTTTGCAGATGACATGATCTTATATAAAGGAAGACCTAAAGACTCTCCCAAAAAACTATTAGAACTGATTTCAGTAATGTTACAGGA